ACATACATACATACATACCTATCTACCTACCTACCTATCTACCTACCTACCTATCTACCTATCTACCTACCTACCTACCTACCTACCTACCTACCTGTACTACATGCATACATACGTACTTATTACGTACGCAGACAGACAGACAGACAGACAGACAGACAGACAGACACACAGACAGATAGACAGATAAACAGACACGTACGTACAGACAGAGTAACAAGACAGACAGACAGGAAGACAGACAGACAGACAGACATCCATCCATCCACCCACCCATCCATCCATCCATACAGACATACAGACGAACAGACATAGAAACATAATATACTGACATAGGGGGAGGGAAATCTTTTTATTTTAAATGTTGATTCGATGTAGGGTTCTATGGGGGGAAAATAATAATATATATAAAAAAATTAATTACTCGTATACAGTCTTTTTTAACGTAGGATCCTATTACTCTGGTTATAAGCGACGGTGTCATTTTAATATAAACCGTGTTTCTGCCAGAGAAACAGACGCCATTATGGTGGAAAACTTAGAAAATCAATTATTTAAAAAGATGTCGGTCAGAGATTGAATGCTAACAATATTGCAATGGTGTACAAGTAAAATATTTTGGTTGGAGGTTTTAGCATTTTGTTATTTCATTTTTCCTTTCAGTCAGTTCCCTTCACAGCGCTGAATATTCAACTCAAATTAAAAAGAAAGCATTTAGATTAAAAGGCTGCTATAAAATAGACCGCTATTTTTTCAATCGTGTTGGCTGCTATTTAATTCTGCCCCTACTCCATCTCAATACACAATACAGGAATTGATAATTCCCAACCTTCCTCCTCCAACCAGCAACCTCACATTTCTCCCAAAAACAACAATTAACAAAGACGGGCCAGGACTCACAGGCTCTGTCCTTGCTCTCAACAACAAACTGTCAACCCAACATAACATCAGAGTTTGTTCACTTGGTTTAATCCCTGACCAGCTAGCCCGGGTACACAATGGGCGATGGTTGGCTTTGTCTAGAGTGGACTGCAGTGAAGATAAGCCCTGTTTCAAATCCTTCATTATTATTCTCAAACGAAAGTTGCTCAGGCATGGACTAATCCTTTGATTTCGACGGATAATTTTAACTTATTGCATGGTGAAATTATCCCGCTTTTTTACCACAACTTGTCTTTCGTTACAAGTCATCAATGGGCTACGGTCGTAATACAAACCGTGTTTCTGCCATAGGAACAGACGCCATTAAGAAAGACAACTTTAAAAATCAATTATTTAAAAAATATCTGTCAGAGAATGAATGGTAAAAAGATTGCGAGGGTGTAAAAGAAAAAGTTTCTTGGTTGGAGGTTCCAGCTTTCTGTTACTTCTGTAACTGTCAGAGGTTACATTTTTCCTTTCAGTCAGAA